CTGCATGAAATATACAACTTGGCAGTTGCCGGTATGTGACAACGCTGCGCTACTTTTATGTTTCGGCTATTTGCTCTCTTGTAACTTACGCCTGCGGGAATATATACTAGCGTTTTGCTCACTCGCTCAAACTGCGTATCTGTTAGCGTTATTAGCAAACTTGTCATTTTGCATTGTTCGTACGAGCAATATACAATCGAGCAAACATGGGATAGCGTTCTCGTTCGATTACGGTATTACGCCTTATATCTTATGCTCCAGAACATGTTCATGCCCTGTGCACTTACTAAGTATCTTATCTATCAAAGGTGTCACACTTTGTGTCTCACTCCAAGTGAGTCACTTAGTATCGGGTCAAAGCGTGATAGCACTCTAGTGAGATATATCATTCACTCCGAAGACAGCGCGAGTCATGATCAATGCTGAATACCAAACACATTATTGCTCTTGCACGTCGCGCTTGAATCAGATGAGATAATAGTTAAATTGAGTCCCATCTTCGAGCATCCTCTCTTTTTGCGTCGTATCAGTTTTGTCTCATGGTTTGGTACGATTGTACGTATTGACGAGTCAACAATACCCACAAGTTAAACCCTCAAGTAGGCATTACGTAAGCATTACGGGCAACTTTGACATTCTGCACGAGAAACATTTGCTCATGGGCAGTGGCACTCATCGGAGCGTCTTCGTGGAGCTATTGTTATAGACTTTGCAGAGGTGTCGAAGGATTGTACAGGGGAAACGCAACACGGACTAAATTACTGATTATGAACTCTACAGCCCCCCGCACACACTATTCGCTCCCGGGCACCACTAGAGAGCCTTCATAGAGATACTATTAAGGGTTACAAGAGAAGCATATTGAGAAAGTTTCTCAGAGAAACGTCCAATTTTTCTCTACCAATCACCGAGACAGCTACTTGTAGCAGCTACAACAGCTGAGCACCACTGAGGTGCCTACCTTATTGCGAGTGCGTACATGGTCGCTAGTCTCCAGTGATGGGAGAAACTATTTCGATTCCTCACGCTCGTCCTCTTTCGACCGCTTGTGCTGCAATTCTTTTGCCGCGTGGCTCTCATACTCCTCCACCAATGAAATAGCATTGTTGTTAGGCGAGTTCTTTCGCACTATCTCATCACATCTGGTACCTCGGGAGAACTTGTTCAGCGCCGGGTAGATGCGGAGTGCTAACTTAGCACTGCTAAGCCAGCCTGCCTCTTTGAAAGAGGAAATTCCTCGATAATTTCGACGTTCGCGAGGGGCATCTTTCTCCGGTGACCAGTATTTGCTCAGACTACCGAAGAGCATATTGGTTCGCATGCAGTAGGCCACGTAGGGATCAGGATGCGTGTATGAAAGTCACGGCATCTCGCATGGACACCACTGGGGTGCCTGCAATACAGCACTGCACTGCAGATGAGTGATCCACGTTGATCCAAATAAGTGATCTCGAATCACTCAGTACGAGTGATTCCGCCCAATACGAACTACCACGTAAACACAAATCCTCTCACTCGTCCTTCTGTGACCATGTGCGAACTGCAATGATGTGGAAAATATGAAAATCCAACGAACCCTTAACGAATGTAAGTCTTTACTAACGACCTACTACCACTTACAATAGTCCATCAATCATTCTCCCAGTGCTGCAACTATACTTATCTATATCGGCAGAACCAAAGAACTTCGAAAAATAGTCACCACTCAGAGACTTCGAAACTATAATGCAATGCTCAACACAATCACCAACAACCCACCAAGGCTCGAATCTCGTGTGCGAAATTTCAGTTTCTTCTTCCGATTGCAGAACAGCAAAAATTTGCTCCATTGCGGGGTTGCCCATTCGTAAAGCGGCAAATTGCTCCTCTGAAAAGTAGCAATTTGCTCAATGGTAGAAGGAGCAATTTATAGTTTTGCCCCTTCTTTGAGCAAAATTGCTCAATTTTGTTACATAGTAGCACTTCACATAGCGGCAACTTTTATATATTCTAGCAATTTTCTGAAATATAAACAAGCAAACGATATTCATTCGAGCAGCTTCTGTTATACAAAACGGCAAGTTTGCGTATTTGTAAAGTGAATTTTACTACTTTGCTCTTCTGTATATCAGCCATAGCGTTTTTACACACTAGCACAACAGCAAAAGCCGCAGGGAATGTACATTCCAGCTAATTGGCACTTTTTTGCTATTTGCTCCTTTGCTATTTTGTAACTGAGCCACTTAGGGCTACTTGATACTCAAGTTGTACAGTATACTAAAGACGTTACTTGAGTTCAAGGGGCAATTTGCTCCTATGAAACAGGGCCTATGTCGCCACGCAAGGACTTGCATGAGACATACATCATAGAACTCTTCATTTCGAGTGTAACAACACAACATGAACACTAAACATAAGCCCGAGAGTGAGGGGCGATTACATAATATATCGTCTGCCTCAACGAG